GTGGAAAAAACACATGAGCAAACTCAAGTGTGTTTGAGTTGTGAGTTTGTGGGCCAATATTAAAGCTCCGACTGGATATTCAAACTCCGCAGAAAAAGCACGTGACCCGGAAATGGTAGATGTGTAGATAATGCTATTAACACTCCGATTTAAAATTCAAACACCACTGAAAAGCGTGCATGCTTATCAATAGAGAGATCTAGCAAGTGATAACTACCTACCAACACCATGTCTAGGGTTACTGAGCACCAGGAACCCCTAGCCATCCTTCAACAAGCCATGGAACATTTTGGTCTGCTACAGTACTTAGATATACTACATGTAGCACTGCAGGAGGCGGAGGCTACTGACTCTGATAACTCAAGTGAAGGCCTACCCCAATCTGACAACACCATGACAACCCAATCTTCTGATGTTCCCTCTTCCCCATCTTCTGGTTCTGCAACTTCTGACTCCTCATCCTCATCCTCTGGCTTGATGGAGCAGTTGTTATTCAGTACTGCTGCTTCCTCTGGCTTCCAGGATGCTATTGCTGCACTCCAGAATGAAGTTGAAAAAACATGTGTTCTCAACAATTGACCAAGACCAAGCCACTCTCCCCAGCTCCACCTCCTCAATGAGTGGAAAATTGACCACCCTCACCTCTTTCAATGCAAACTCAGAGTCCCCCCAGCTGTTTTTTTGTTATAGTGGACAAGATTGAGACCCACCCTATCTTCCACAACAACTCCAATAACCCCCAGCTCCCTGTCCCCATACAATTGGCAATTTTCCTTAATGCTGCCACCTCCTGGGATATGGCAGAGTGGGCTGGTGTATCTGTTGGGACTGTCCACAATTGCTACAAGAGGGTGATGGTTGCCATTCTGCACCATCATGATGAGGTGATTCACTTTAACCCTGAGGAACCACAGGACAGGAGGGAAAAGGACAGGGCAAAGAGATATGTGGAGGAGAGAACGTGTCCTCAGTGGAAGGGGGGATTTTTATGTGTGGATGGGACACCCTTCAATCTATTTCAGAAGCCTGGGTTGCATAGGGAGGGATTTTTTGAGAGGAAATCCAATTATTCACTTTCCGACCAGGTGAGCACTCACAATTTGGTGATTACATGTATTCACTCACCTGCATTTAAGATCATCATCTTCCCCCACAATCTTTGCATTGTGGATTATGTCATTGGTATTCCAGGTAGCCTCCATGACACCAGTGCCTTCCAACACACTCAATGTGCCCAGTCACCTGAAAGGTTTTTTGGTGAGAATGAATGGCTCTGGGCTGACTCTGCATATGGATGCCAGAAGTGGTGTATTGTTCCATTCAAAAGACCTGCTTCAGGTCAGTTGACTAGGGTGCAGAAGACATTCAATTATCATCTGTCTAAAGTATGTAACAGCTCTTTTTACATATTTAGTCCATACTCATCCATCATGGCAAGATACATGTTCGATCTGAACATCTTTATGGCTCCCTTAAAGGGTGCCTTCCAATCCCTACAAGAGCTTTGAATGCAAATACAGACTCCAGAAGACTTGGAGTATTGTAATGCATGGGTGTGAAGTTGTCTAGTTCTCCATAACATGATCATAGAAATTGAGGAGGACCTTGGTTTGGCATCATCAGCTGAAGAGTTTGCTGGGGCATTTCCTCCCTCTGATGAGGATGAGGAAGGTGAAGATGCAGGTGGTCAGGGAAACTACATTGGATCAGAGGGGCAAATATTTAGGGATGCACTTCTTATCAAGTTACTTCAGCACTTAGAGGTGTAACACATTCTTGAGCATGTAAATATATTTTGTTTTTACTTTACTTTGTTCTGGTGCTCTGGGACTTTGTTCTGGGCAAGTATGACACAGACAGGTTCACAAAATTCATTCATATTTAGTATATACCATGGTCTACATTGTATATACTAGGGGGGGGGAGGCAATTGTATATGGGGGAGAAGGCAACTGTATATAGGGGGGGGGGGGGAATGCTAGGATGCTAGATGATTATGAGAAAACAACCATGTACTGTATTCAGAAGGTGAGGTGAATATTCTGACTATCAGATGAAGTACCTTGGTCCTCACCACCTGCAATGGCTTTCTGCAATGCGAGATTCTGAACATGCAGCTGCTCCAGCTGAACCACAAGCTTCATCTTCTCAACCTCCTGAGCCACCATCACTTGCTTGTGCACATGCAGCTCACATTGCATTTGCAACTGGTGCTCATGATCCTCTGCATGAGCAGACTTCCTCTCCCTCACCTTCCAGTAGTCAAAGTCCATTCAGGAGCACTTGTGCTCCAACTGATCTTGCTGCACCTGTTGAAATTGCTGAATAAACAACATTGACATTGAAGCAAGGCTTGCTGAGAGCCAGTCAGCAGGGGCCTCACACCCACACTTATGGGACAGCTTGGATGATGACAGCTTGCAGTCACTATTGTCAGATGGCACAGTGGAGGATGAAGACATACAAAGCCCCAAAAAAAGATTTGATGATGACATGTCTGAGTCAGATGATTCATCCATGTTCAGAGTGGAAGCTGACCTGGGTTTCAGAAGAAGGGAGTTGTGCTTGAGAGATGGGTGCATTGGCTGAATTTTTGGGCAGTGGGACATGAAGGGGGCAGGGTCATCGTTCAGACTGATGGGATCCCCCTTGTCAGTGATGAGAGGGGGGGGAGATGGAATGCCAAGCAATGGACATTTAATTCCAAACAGCTGGGGCGATGGGAGAGCAAATGATGAAAGATCCCCCCTGTCAGAGATGAAAGGGGGGACAGATGGAACACTGAGTTGGTTTTCAAATAGGGGGGGGCGAAGGGATAGTGAGTGATGGCCATTCAGATCCAAATGGGGGGGTGGCATGTGATGATGAATCAGAAAGGATTGGGGGAGGAGATGGGACAGCAGGCAACAACTGTTGATCAAATGAGGGGAATGATGATGAATGCGAAATGGCAGAGGAAGGTGATGGGATGGGAGGCTTGCCAACATAGTCTACAGTCATTGCCAGAGAATCATCTGCAAAGATTAAGTTAGAAGTCTCCCCTATTTCACCCTCTTCCAATTCCAATGGTACTGGAGAGCCAGGTACAGGAAGGCCATCTGAAATGGTGTGAGGGTTTGACTGCAATTTGAAGAGTCTGACTGCATGAGCAGCAAAATTTTGGCCACTATCAGCACCACTCCACATGCTGTTGTATGCAGGGTTCATGCACCACCAGCCATGCAGGTCTCCCCACCATGGGAATTCCTTCTGAATACCATCTGGAAGCAATCAGTACACTGATAGCAGGTGACAAAGGTGTGGCAATGTACCTATAATATTTTTTGTGCTTGTGTTGCTCACAGGATCATCACAAGTCTGTCCAGCACCTGTCTGCCCAAGCAATGCAATATATTTCCAATACTTCTGCTTCAAGCTGCAAACTCTGCAACTGAAAACAGAAAAAAAGGGGGGGGAGGGAGGGGAGAAATGTACACATCAAGATGACTTTGAATTGGACCAGCAAATATACCTGGATTGTCCTGAGCAAGGGCATGGATCTCAACAGACTCATCACCCACTAAAAAAATTACCTTTGTAATCTCCACATATATGTCATTCTTCCTGTGGCACAACTGCTGCTTACTTCTACCTTCCTCCCAAGCATCCTGTGTAGAATTCAAAAAGAGCTTCTTGCAAGCTGCTTCATGAGTTTTACACCATTTGATAAGGCAATCAGTACGTGCAGTGTGCACCTTTTCCCACTGAATTCAAATGTTTGGCTGCTTCACAACTGATCTGGCAGAATGTGATGATGGGAGACCAGGAGAGCCTGGCCCAGTTGCTGGGGCCATCACTATGTCAAGTGAGCAGTGAGAAGTGAGTGGTTCAAAGCTTACAAAACTCAGCCAAAGTTCAATCAGAGTTTCAACCTCCAGGTTCTCAGCCAGAAACTCACCAAAAAACACATGAGAAACATGTGAACCTCCTCAGACTATCATGTGACTTTCAAACCCTCCACAAACCCATGTAATGACATTGTATACTAAGACGAGACTGTAATGCTTGCATTTATGGCATTGTGCATTACAGAGGATTACAAACCCATATCCTGGTGTCAAGCTCTGTCTTTTTGCTATCTCATGATAATTGTTGGCATCATGTTTGCATCAGGACAAAAGTGCCAAATAAGTGCTTCATTCCAATTTCTTTGACTGCCAACATCTTTAAGTTGGATGTTGGGCATCGCATTTACTAGTGTCTGGTTTGTGAATGCATCTCGACATGATCACAAGTTCTGAATGTTGCCATCATGAAAATTGTGTGTCCAATCCATAAATTCTCAAGGGCTGGAACCTCAATAATGGTAGTAGGCATAAAATCCAGTGATACCAGTGTCTCATACAATTGTCAGGTGTACCATTAGTCTTTTGAACTGTCCTTGTTCTCAGAAATAGCCACTGTGATCATTCCATGCAGACATTTTGATTGTTGCACTCTTTCTACCAAGATGACACTTCTCAGTGACAAACATCCAGAATGAAGGTGATATTGCAAGTAGGTGACCATTATTGAAGCATCAAGGGGATTGTTTCATTTCTGAAAGCATGTTCAAGTCTCATATAGAAACACTGATAGAGCCAGATATCTCAACAAGGGATAGATTCAAATCATGACCATAATCTTGCATGAAGTAGAGTGTCATGGTAATATGCACTGTTTGGATTAGGACTTGACTACTGGATAAGAAATACACTATAGAACATTAATGGTACATGGTCCATTTGGTGGATCACTGGCAGTCATTATCATGCATGACATGACATGATGTCTGGCCAGGTGGTTGAGGAGGACTCCTCTGAATCAGGCTACTGCTTGTCGTCGCTGCCTTCTCAAAGTCAATGCAACTGACTTCTTCTCCACTGCCTGAGGGCAATATGTTGTAACATTGACATGACTGAACACAGAGCTGTGAATGTTATGAATTAGTTCAAGAATGTAATCAGTATCAGCAGTGAAACCTACTGGTTCCACCACAAAAGCAGCTCATCAATCTTGGCTTTCTCAACCACATTATGCACATCCTCAAAGAAGGACACAATGTTATGGTAGAAAAGCTCATAATTGAAATCCTTGTCAATGATGTGCCAGGATGAGGCACTCGACAGAGCATACTGCAGCTGTGCAGCACAGATTAGCAAGCATGTCAGAATTGGTTGGCCAGAGTTGGGCACACCTGTACTGCAGCATAGGCAATTGCATGGGGGCTGACAGACTTCATTCTGAGGAGAGCAGTGATGTGGGCACATGTACACTTCTCACTTGGACCCCTTTGGCGCTTTCTCATGGGTTCAGTGGTGTGTTGGCTTTCTTCATCAATGTTGTGAATGGCACTCTTGGAAGCAGCTGAGCTTGGGGATGTGAAAATATGTAGAAAGTCTATAGTGAAGAGGGTGAGCAGTGTAAGCTTTTCCCCAAGAAAAAGGGATATAAACCTGCAAGAGGAGGGAATTTTTGAAGAGTCCTTTCACAGGATTCTTGGGGTTATATTCTTCATTCTTGTAGAGGAAGTGAGGCCAAGAGTCAGCAGTTAAATGAAAGTTGGGGTGAAAACCATGAATGTTTGCTCTATGCCTGTGAACACCTTGCAAAATCAGCCTGAACTGGATACATGTTACTATACTAGGAAGTGCAACTTGATGCACTGGGCAATGGACCAGTTGTAATCAACAGGGCAAATGAGCCAAGCTGTAGTATCATGATAGAAACCTCTTCCACTTTTGTCATAGGGTTCGAGAGCTGGCTCTGGAGTTGGATGGGACTACCTCATAAGCCATCCAATGACTGCAGTCTTCAATCCAGCAGTGTCATCACCACAGGCACCATCAGCACCCTTATTGAGCTAGGTAAGGCCCATCAGACAGTTGGAATGCGATACTCAGGTCCTGCTTACATATCTGATAATCGATTTGATCTTGTAGTCATCCATTTCCACTGTAAGGTCCTGGTGTAATGATGGGATCCATCACATGAGCTCTTGGTAGTTATGGTACAATTGCTCCTGCCTAGTGAGACTAGTTAGCTGATTTTGATTATTGGATCTAATAAATCATTACTCTTCCAAGTGTTTGGTGGTAACCCCAGGCCCATCTGACTCAATGCATGAGTAGTGGTCCGCTTCATTGATCAAGTCTTCGACATGATCATTCAGGGTCACCAGGCATCAAATGGCATGCCCTGTGCTGAGATACTTGTTATGGTTTCTGGATGGAAAATAGACCAGTAGCATTGTACTCTGCATCCTGTCATGACAATGAAGTGAACTCACCAACTGGGATTTTCTGACCTTTTACTCTGTAATTCATGATTCTCCTCCTCTAGGGCACTGATCCGACATTTGTATGTGCTGAGTGCCACTAAGTCAGTGGCATTATTGTCACAGCCAGTGGAAGTCATATTCTGATGAATTGCCAAAGTAAGACACTCTGCATGCTTCCTAAATATGCAGGGGGTGCAGTGCAGTGTTGAATGTCACCCAAGTTGGCATTATGTGATGTTTGCCAGCACTGCATATCTGCTGACAATCAGATCTGGAGTAATGAACTGATCCTTCTCCAACAGCTCCTCACATTTGCATTTCAGGTGGGGTGTGCAGCTACACTAAGTCCTTTGTGGAGCTGGATGCAAACCACAATTCAGAAAAAAAAAGTATGGTCATCCCTCTCTGGACAACATGGCTAAGTTCTGAGAGACTTTGTCTCCACTGAGCACCACTGGAATGAAGTCATCACCAGCCTCCAGTGAGGCCTTGACTCCAATCCCTGGGTAATGCAGTCATTGCTCCTCACCTTTCCAACTTCTGTTACTATTGCACTATTGTTATTTGGAGATGATTTGGAGGGTGAGGCCTGTGAGGCTTGGCATGCACACAGGTTGTAATACTACTATTATAGGGAATAGGTCTCTGGCACATGAACTTCAAATGTGGGGGAATGTGGGGTACAGACCAGCTGGCTTGCACACATAGTTTCAACTTGGACAGACCACAAAAACATTCAATCATGTGGCTACAAGATGTAATGTACACTGCGAGATCATATTGGCACAGTAGCCTGTTCAGTCCATGACAATGTTGCTGTTAAGCAACATGTGTTTCAGCTCATCAGCACCAACAAGATCTGGATCTCTAGAGTATAGCAGCTCAAAAGTAGATAACAACAAAATATAGCATTTGCCATACCTGATATTCTCATACTGTATCACAAAGTGATCTTTGCCTTGAAGAGATGGAAGTACACCTTGGACACAGTAGTGAATACCTGGCTCTTCATTCAGGTAGAATTCTTTGCCAATAACTGGAGGAAGAGAAGGAAACTTGAGCATGGCATCCACCTCATCAATGTTGGTGTGGAAGTGATGCAATCCTGACTTCAGTTGTTGAAAGATTGGTGGAGGGGACAATGGTAACAAAGGGCAGTATTTCACCCCCTGCACTATGTGCCTTGGCTGGCACTCAGCCCTAGTAAAGCATTAGCATTATATATCAAGAATCAAGGTGAGATTAAAAACCAACCAATGTTGGTTTATCAATCTCCACACTTTACATGCTTCAGAAGCAGGTAGCCCAATGCTAATATTATTTTGAAGTAACAAGAGTGTGTTTGCTGCACAAGCAATCTGTAAGTGCCTGTTTCATATTATATGTGTGAGTAGTGTTGTCAAGCAAAACTTTGAGTGACCCTTACTCATCTACTGTCACAGGAAGACAGTTAATGATACTCTCCATCCTAACTTGCAACACCATCTGATCCTGACTATCAAGTGCTGGCAAGCCTGCCTCATAGGGTGAGGCCTGTCCTTGAGCCAGAATATGCCAGTGGACATTCATGGGCTGCTTGAGTGTGTGAACTGCTGACAAATTCTCTGTGAGTAAGGTCATGTATGTGATGGTTTGCATTGCTATCTCCTCCATGTCAATGCCACTGTGTGGAAGAGTTTCACTTGTTGGACAAATTTGAGGTGCACTGGCCCTACAGGTGATGTAAGGTCTCTGGTGTTTCATTGGGAATCGAGGCATTGTGACTCATGAGTATGTTTGTGGTGGCTGAGATCAGTGTTGAGAAATCAGACTGACTTTATAGTACATACATGTCACACCCTGGCTTGCCGAGGTGGCACATCCACATGGACCATGTTGTGACCAGCATTTTACAGTAAATGTCATGGTCATGGGTGCCAGGTAGGATGTCACGTCCATCAGCTGCCATTGATACATGTAGGTTGTAATGCACTGCTCATTCAGTCAACTCAAGCCTGTAGCTGAGCAACTCTGGATGCCTGTATTCAACAACTCTACATCTGATGCCAAGGAATCAATTTGTAATGTTGCTGCTGTGTGTCTAGGGAAACTCACAACAACAGACCCTGGTTGGTACCTCTGTCAACTTCAGGTGCATATCCCTGGGGCTGAGAATCCCATGATATGAGTGACAGTGATTTCAGCAATCAGGTATATTTGGATAGTGCACCATCATATGACAAGGTGCTTGCACCACTGGTGCTGGTCCATTTGTGCCAATCAAATTAGCCTATACTGTGAAGCTGTGAATAAAGAGAAAACTATTTGGAGTTGGAGATGCATTCCTCGTCATGTGGCAGCACAACAGGTGGCCTCAACCAGGACTTCATTTCACCACAGCTGACTGTGGAGCAAGTGAGTCAATCAGCTCTAATTTGCCTTTGCCCTGGAATCTACAGTAGGTGCACTCTCTGCCATGTGAGGTTTTGCACAGTTTTGACCACATCTGAGATTACTGTCCTCTGCAATTGTTGCATATCTGCTGCCTACTGAATTACCACACTGAAGTAGGACACTGATTGCCCCTCAGAATATCAGGCAATATTCTGGGCAGCTTTTGAATTCCCTTTGTCCTTCAAACCCATCCCACCTTCTGGAATTTTAATCAGGCATGACCAGATGACCCTGATAGTCAGACAATAGGCCATAGTCATAATGAATCCTAACAATACATCTGGGAATTTGTCATGAGGTGTTGACAAAAATCACCTGGAGAGAGTTATATTGCACACTAGTACCATAATGGTCTCCAGTGCCCAACTCCAATGTTGGAGTCTGAACAGATGAGTCTGACTGGTTGGAACATGTGTGTCACTGGATGCAGTATGGACCCTGTCTGGGTGACACTTGATGCTGAATCAAAAGGTTCTGACTTTTAGCATGGCGCATCTGCAAAAAATGGAGTCCCACCACACTTCGTCTGTCCTTGTCAACCTTGAGACTGAAACTTACTATCTGGAGATCATATATCCATCTCTACAGGACTTTCTAGCAAGGCTGGATGATGCTGAGCCACACCAACATTGGTCAGAGCAGTTTTTGGTGCCACTAATGAGAATGGGCATCAACTCTCTGGATGGCATTGATCTTGCAATGCCTGAATCTCTGCATCTATTCTTCAGCCTACCTCCTATTACAATCATGGATTTCTTCACTCATGTGCTGGAAACCATTTAAATCATCCATCAGGCTCATCCATCAGTCATTGCAAACCATCACTGACTCTGAGTCAGGTAAGGCACCTCCCAGTATGTATACAAGTGGACTGAGGGACCTCAGCTATTGTCAGCTGAAGCATGGTCTGCTACTATGATCTAGGTGCAAGAGAAAAATTCTATACACATTGTCTGTATCCAACAGCTGGTTGCCAGACTCTCACCCTGATTTCTAGTAGTGTAGGGTGTGGGCCAGAGTGCCAGGTCATTTTTTCTAAATTAATATGGATGGTACTATTACAATATTACAATTATGATTCCTGGACTCCATGCAATTGTACCGCCAATGAAGAACCTGCAGCAGGGACAGTGGTCTCCAGGAGGTTGTGGCATCATCTTCATGCATGGACACTGTGGAACTGGATCAGGTGCAACCAAGTCTTCAAGGCAGCAAAGACTACCTCTGTCAGAAAACAGTGCTACAGTATCCTGCAAAGGGGGTGCTGCAGACAAAAGTTAAATCAGCCAAGTCTCAGATCTCCCCTTGTAGTACCATGCCAATTGTCATGCCATGTGGGACTCTGTGGGCCAACTTCTGATTGATGGCTCCAAAGAAATAGTAGACACATGAATGTTTGTACGAAGTGGCCAATGTGAGGCACTGCCTCTGGCAAGTTGGCAGCCAGTGAGCTCGAATGCCTTCTTGACTTGACACCTCACTCCACTGGATGTTCACAGGGTCGCATCTAGCAGGATCGTAGTGCCAGTGCCTGCTTTTGTGGGGATCCAAGGATGGATGGGACACTGCAAAGCTGCCACTTCGAGTCTCAATGAAGCCACAGGTGGCATACAGAGCGAGGTGAGGTCTTGATAACTCAGGGCATGGCAAAGGCCTAGAGAGTGGGAGGCATACTAGCCTGAGACTCCTGCAATTCAAAAGGGCACTTGAGGGTACTTATTAGGACTGCAATATGAAACTGGAGGGAATGACCAGGATCGCAATACCTTCATAAAAACCTTTCTTTGCATGTGTAGGTGGTGCTGAAATTGAATGGATGGAAGCAGAATCTTGAGAATGCAACTGGTGAAGGCAGCTGTGAGGTTCAAGTGGTCTTGTTGATTTTGCCATGCAGCTGTGTTGCCCATACTGCTGATGGATAGGCTCTGTACAGCGTTTGCCATCTTTGTGGAGGCTCTGCAAGTGTGGTTCACTTTAGCAATGATGAAGGACAGATCAAGACAGACCCATTCCAATTTCCAAAATCCCCAATGCAGAATTTGTTGGGGAAACCATAGATGCACACACTGGCAGACAGAGGGTACAATGCATCACATGGCTCTGGCATGGGCAAGGTCTTGTAGACGAGCAAGTGTGAATGTCTTTGGTCTGGAAGGCTTGGATGTTGGGCAACAGTTGCCCATTCAATCATGTGGCAAAGAGAGGTGGGGAAGCACTCCCATTGTTGGCCCAGGAGCTCATGAATAGGCACACAGTTCTAGATGATGGTTCACAAGTCATCTGCCCATGGGTCAGTGCTGAGTAAGTGTCCAGGAGGCAGTAAGAAGGACATGGAGGGAAATGGCACACAACAGGGCATATAGACTGATTCTGCACCAGATTTTAAGTCGCAACAGCCATCAGGCTACAATTGTTTAAGGAAATAGGAGACACAAGATGACTTCTGAAGTGAAAAAACTAACATGATGTAGATGACAACATCAGAGTGGCCTTGAGATGCCAATCTGTGTAAGATGCAGTAGTGGCAGTATCAAGGTTTGTGAGGCAATTTAACTCATTCTGGAGACCATGCTACAAACATCTGAGTGTATGTTGGGGTGAGAATGATTGTAATATAGCAAGGCTGGATAGCAAACAAGCCCATTGGGGCCACTTATCAGCAGCCTGGTCTCAGAAGGAGCACTCTGCATTTGAGAAGGGTGGGACAGCCCCTGGTATTACTTCTACTCCAGAGAGTACAACTCACAGCTCAAGTTATCCCCATTGACTCACCATTCTTCACAATGATAACATCTGGGAGATCTGTGATGATCATGACAAGATAGCTTGCCATCATTATTTTGCTGTCTGGGCCTATCGCCAGGGCAACATATCAGAGTCTGAGAAAGGAGAGGAGGAATTCATTGAGTGGATCCATTGGGCCACCTTGCAGAGCCAAATGGTGCTGTGGAGGCTTGTTGGCTGGATCTTGAGTGCATGGGTAAAAGCACCATTGCAATGGTGAGTTGTCCATATTCTACACCAAGTGGGAATCTTGCATGGAGCACAGGGGCATATTTCTTTACTAGATAGAGTATCCATTGCATGGTCAACCAATGAGTGGGAACCAAGGATTAGAGGCCAACAAATGCATTCTCTCTGACCCATTGGTCTGGGACCAGATGTGACCAGATGCCTGTGAGGGGCTGGGTGCTGACATCATCTTGAAGAAGTTAGTGGATGCCACTGGCACAGCCTAGTAGGCAGTGTTGCTATGAGCCTACTAAGTGCATGATGTGGAAAGGGTATCCGACAAGTGGTTATAGCTTGTGCCAACATGTAAAAATGATAATTCAGGATAGCATGCAGATTGTATTACAGTACTTGAAATGTATAAAGCATGTAAACAACTGGTAGATGCACAAAATTACAGAGGCTCTGCAGCGCAGATTGTGTATTTAAGCCACCCAGATGTTGTGTTGCCATGGACCACTTCATATTCAACCAGTAGAGGCTGAGTACACACTTCAAAGCCACACTTTCGGCATGTGGATACTCGAGTCTTTGGGTGATAACCAGATGGAGGATGAGAGTCAACCTTCAATTGTGCCCATGGATGGATGGCACCACATTTCAGGCATCTCATAGACAGAGAAGTGCCCCATGGGCGCTGATGGCTGTGGTACCATGAGTACTTGTATCCAGCAATGAGAGGGGTGGTGGTGAGAGGGGAGGGGCTAAGTAACCACTGTGCCCATGGTAAACCTAAACCTGAAATATGAAACAGCACCACATCAGTGTGCATCCAAAGTTCTAGTGAAACATTGAGTAGGTTGTGGATAATGTCTTCCAGGGCCTGTCCTTCAATCAGGACTTTGACACCATAAGACACAATGAAAGTTTTGATGACTGCATTGAGGAAATCCTTGGCAGTGAATGCGACCATATACTCTGGCCAGAGTCTTAGCAATGGTTAGTAATGTTCTTTACAGATCAATGATCGATAGCTTATGGTGTGATAGATTGCTTCAACACCCCAAATGACTGTTGAAACGATACTACAGGACCACATGTCAACATAAACAGGGTAGAACCATAGATTATGTTTTGAAGGGGCAAAGTGAACAAGCATTTCATGAACTGAAAAGGATGAGCATGAAAGAAACCTGATTATTTCAGTCACATACCTCACCAACCTCCATTGCAACATCCTCACCACTCTCGCCCTTCCCTGCAAACAGGTTGCCATGGGTGACTTCACTATGGACAGTAATGAATATTATCTTGCACTTGAAGCCATATGCAGTCAACTTTTCACCCAATTTCTTGATCTTCGTACTCCACCAATTAAACTTCTGTTCCGTACCAAAGTCAAAGACCATTTTTTGATACAGAAGGGACTCACTTGTAATATTCCTTGATGGTTGTCTTGAGGAGCAACAGCAATGAACCTTGAATTTCCATCCCTGTGCAGATGAGATCCAGAATAAGTGTGGACTCAGCACACACTTGCAACTTTGACACCCTTTCACAGATCCCTGAGATGATAATTGGCTTATCCAACATAGGAACTCTCTTCCCATGTACAGTACACTTGAATGGCTTGGATTCATGTCAGCTTCATTCAGATTGTGAATCATGAACAACTCACAAAGTATGAATGTAATTCCTTGTGCTTCACACCACCCTCTTCAAGTTTGTGGCAGCCAGGACATTGGAAGTCAATGTCTATGGTGTGTGCCTTATCCATGAGCCACTGGGGTAATCCTAAGCAGTGGTCACACACGATGTGAGGGCAGGAATAGCACTTGAACAAGTATTTGGCTCCATTGTGGCAAAGGTAGCAATACTACTTATCATGTTAGCCATGACAGAATGGAGGACTTATAGTACATACCCAGTTATGCCACTCCTCAGACAGAGGGCTCTGTCCCTGAGATGAGGGAACAGGTGCCAATGAACTCAGTGACAAACTGGCCCAGGATTCAATGGATATGTGTCTGATGGGGTTGGCATGAGCAGCACAAATAATTTGCACTCACAGCATGGTACTGGATGTGGTTTTATTCGCATTCTGCCTTGTTCTGGCCATGAATAGTTCCTTACCGAAATATTAACACAAGTGACAGATGAGCTAACTTGGTTGCAACAAGAAATATTAATACTAATTGACAGAGTTGAAGAGAAAACAAGTCCATACAAGCTAACCGACCACAGTACATCATGCATGTTCAAATCTGTCTTGGCAGCTACTCTGAGTCAGGCTAATACTCTTGAACACTGCAGGATCATTGAAACTGCTGGCTGACCTCTGTCACCCATATCACTTAGTGGGTGTTTACGATTTCTCTGCTCATTGAAACAGTTGGCCAATGTCTGTTGCCTGTTTCACTGAGCCCTACTGCTTGTGATACTGTTGGCTGACATCTGTTGCCCATATCACTTAGTAGGTTTTCATGATTTCTCTGCTTGTTGAAACAGTTGGCTGACTTCTGTTGCCCTTCCCACAGTGTCTGCTATTTCCTGCAGCTTCCTTAGGAAATCAAGGACTGAACATCCATCTTGATGACATGCTTCAAACTTATCATGCTGTTGCATTCAGAAGTCTGCAGGGAATATGTAATCAAACAGTTCTTCAAAGAATGTGGTAAGGGTATATCTTTTCTTTCAGATCAAGTACATTTCATCTGTAGAATCAGTAAGCATGGCCACTAAGGTACTTCCCAGCAAGCCTGATACACTTTTTGCAGTCCAGTCGAGCATGTGTCACCCAATCATGTAGCTATCACCCAGTGTCCTAACAAGTCCTGAGGACCTGTGAGCTAGCAGCAAAGTCATCTCATCAGGCATGGTCTGATAACCATAATCAGCACCCCTTGTGACTCCTCCAAACTGGATTGAGCCAACCCATTCTGGCTCAATAGCCCAGAAATGGCATTGGATTTCCTCATTTATAGCTTTTGGGTTAAAAGGAGAAGACATCAGTATGGACATTAATGTTACAACTATGCACCGGTTGGCCAGACCAATAGTGAGCAAGCAATGTCAAAGTTGTAAGACAGGTTTTAAGAGAATAAGAGCAGAGGTTATGGAGGCAGTTCAAAATATGTGGCAAAAGTGACACCAGAGTCTGCTGACTTTGACCAAGCAGTGTGGTAGTTACCAGAAAAGCAGTTACAGAATTCATGGCAACTACCACTTCTCAATATAGACAATGCCCCCTGAGTGACAACCTCTGTCAGTGTTTGAAAAAAATTCAGATTGGAATGTTCCCATGGCAGGTTACCCTGTCACAAATATTGATAATTTGCGCCTGTACTGTGGCTATACAGATGAGCATGTGACCAGTAGATGTGATGGTTATTGGCAGAGGAATCCGAGGATGGAAGGGGAAAAGGGCAAGAGCTTAAAGACAAGCACTTGCCTTTATGATTGGATAGAGCGTTGAAAGTAGTTTGGTATTTGAGTAGAGCTGTTGAGGCTCATAGACGATAGAAGAACAGTTAATTTGGTGAACTGAACTGAGGGGATACAACAGAAACCCCTTGGTTTATATACATGCAGGTATGTGCACAGACCAGGTGACACATTTAGTAAGTAAAGTTACTACCTACTATGTAAAGTAATGAATGTCATGGAACACCATAGAATAAGTGGAGTAAAGTGACGTCATTGTGGAGTCACTTATAAAGCAGGACATCATATGAGTAAAACTCATCCAATAAGCAAGTCTAGAACTGGTAATGAGAAACACCATATGCTGGTATTTCCAACACTCCCCCTCACTCTAGAATGGTAGATTAATGAGACCGAGCAATGAGCAATTGGTTTCGAACTTCTGCCACATGAGAGACTTGGTTAATCCATCAGCCTTTTGTCGGTCTGTCTGGATATATTCAATGGCAAAGAGATTATCCTGGACACATTCTTGAATGAAGTGCCACTGGACATCTATATGCTTTGAACAACCATCTGAGACAGGATTCTTGGCTATAAAGCAAGCACCCATATTGTCACAGTAGAGAATAGTTTTCTCTAATTTTAGGTCAAGTTCATCAAAAAGCATATTTAGCCATTTGATTTGATGGGCAGAATTGCATAAAGCCATATACTCGGCTTTGGTTGAAGAAAGCGCAATAGTCTTTTGTTTGCATGATCGCCAAGAAATTAGGGAGGTGCCAAGAAACATGGCATATCCGGTAGTAGAATGACGAGTATCCACATTGGCAGCCCAATCAGAGTCAGCAAATCTGAAGGTGCGAGATTCGGTCCCAGATTAGTAAAGTGCAAGTTTTGGTGTTGATGCAACATATTTTACTATGTGCAGCGCTTTTTGTTTGTGATCTTCTGTAGGATTGGCCATGTATTGCGACATGTGAATGACCACAAAAGCAATATCTGGGTGAGTTCCCAGAGCCATATAAAGCAGAGATCCAATAATAGATTGATACTGGGAGCGAAGTGAAGAAGAAGCTTGATAAGAAGCTTTGGGTTTCTTCGGTTGGTAGCCAGATGGAAGTGGAGTGCAAACATTGTGTGCATTCTCCATTTGGAATCTTTTGATCACCTTTTTGACATAAGGGATCTGATCCAGGTAGATCTCGTGCTTTGCACAATTTCTGTGGATCTGAAGACCTAGATATTCTTTACATTTGCCTAGATCTCTTGATTCCCATTTCTTCATAAACTTGTCTTTCTTTGCTTTTAAGAGTTTAGGATGATGATCCTAAGAATAACCCATTGTCAACATAGACTGAGGAAAATGACCATGCCTGCATTGGATTTAAAATATATAAATCCCTGCATCCACTTTGGATCGAATGAAGCCCATGCGAAGTAGGGAAGCATGTAAGGCTTTGTTCCATGCTAATGCTGCTTGCTTTAAGCCATAAAGAGCATGCAGCAACCAATAGACCTTGTGCTCTTGACCTTTCACTTTGAAGCCTTCAGGTTGTTCCATATATATTCTTCATCCAGATTGCCATATAAGAAAGGCAGTCTTGACAGTCCAGGGTGCTCATTTCCCAGTTTCGTTGAGCAGGCTAATGATAAGTATTATTCGCACATGTCTCAAAATGAGTGACCAGTGAGAAGGTATCTTCAAAGTCTGTTCCGAATTCTTGTGTGAAACCTTTGGCCACAAGATGAAGCTTTATAGCGACCATTCGCTTTTTATAGTGCAAAAACCCATCTGCATTTGACTGGTTTGTGATCTGGTTTTGGATCCACAAGAGTCCAAACATTTCTCTCCTCGATGGATTTAATCTCATCCTTCATAGCATTGAACCATTTCTTCTGGAGTTCTGGATTAAGTTTAAGGATGTCTTTATAATGTTCTGGAGACTCCTTTATGCATGCAACAAGAAGGAATTCAAAGGTATTGGCAAAATAGCCTTTTTGGTCTTCTTCTTCTTCATCAACACATGTGGTTCGAGAAGGACCTGCTTCAGGTGTAGGTGGAGTAGTTGATTCAGGTAAGGGAGTTAATGGAGATGTGGGAGGATGAGAAATCCATTCCCTTGGAACAACAGGAGCCTGTGGCCTAAAAGGTGATGGAGGTCTCCTTTCTTCCTGTGTTTGTCTCCTATATTCCCTAGAATTGCAAGCATGTTGCTCAGCATTTCTAATCCACTCCTGAGCAGTGTCTCTATTTTTGCAAATTTCCCTTTCAATCTGAACTGGAGGTTTGGCTCCATAAACATTTTCAGGTCGAGATGTGGGAATAATTCTGTGTTTAGGATGAGGTTCCCTTTGTTTAGCTTGTTCTGGGTGTGCCCTTTGAAGTTTTCTATTATCACCAGGAACAGGATATGGTTGATGAGGATGCTGAATAAGATTGGGAGGAACACCAGGTGCTCTGTGTGGTCTTTGTGGTTGTTGTACTGGTCTGTTTTGTTGACCACCCTGCTGTGGGTTTTGATTACGAGGAGGTTGTTGTGGATTCTGTGGTTGGACTGGATGAGGTCCAAGGTTGGGAGGATCAAACCCAAAATCTGGTAGGTTTCCACCAGAATCGCTAGAACCAGAAGATTGGTCATTATCAGAATCAGGGTCACTTGAGGTATTGGATTTTCTTTGAACACTATCTGAACAGAATGGAAAGGAGTCTTCTATGAACTTGGCAGTACAAGATAATATGATCTTTTGACCATGGAGAAATTGATAGCCTTTTGTTTTGGGTTTTTATCCTAAAAATACCATTTCAATTGCATGTGGGTCCAGTTTGTCTTTTCTTTGTTCCTTTGGCACCCAGACATATGCCTTGCAACTGAATGTGCAAAAATAAGAAATATCTGGAATTTTGCCAGTGAATAATTCAGCTGGAGTTTTGAATTGAATCCTTTTGAGTGGTGTATGATTGTACACATGTAGTGCACAGTCAAATGTGAAGTTCCAATATTTCTTTGGAACACATGCATAATGACGAATTGCTCCGGATTTTTCCAGAATAGTTCTGTTAAACCATTCTGCACAACCATTTTGTTGCAGCTGATCAGCTATAGAAAGCTGATGTGCAATTCCTCTTGAAGTGAGGAGTGCTTTGAAAGTATTTCCCATGAATTCTCCCCCTCGATCCAAACGGAGAGTACCCAGTTCAAGATTGAGTTGGCATTGCATAGCAAGAAGCCATTTGGTAAAGTGTTGATAAGTATCAGATTTCTTCCACATATAAATGCAGAAACTGAAGGAAGAGTAGTTGTCCAAAAGTGTAAGAACATATTTGGGCTGGAAGTAAGAAGCAATGGGAAGTTCCAAAAGGTTGGCATGAACAAGTTCCAATGGGTGAGTAGCACATTTCCAAGATGGTTTAAATGACTCGGAAGCCATTTTGCCTTGTGCACAGCCCTTGCAGGACTGAATTCTGTGTAAAGGAATTTCAGGAAGACCTAATTGGCATAAATGATGCATGATGTTGTTGGCAGGATGTGCCAGCCGATTGTGCCAGAGTGTTTCTGTATCCATTTTGACCATCAGGCAAAGGACTGAAAAAGCATTGGTGGGTGGAAGCGGAATGCCCACAAACCAATGTAATGGTGAATTAGGTGAAGCTAATTGTGCTTCAACTAAAATCTGGCCATCAGGTGTTTGGAT